GATCTGCTGTCCCTACAGCACTCAGGAAGGCCACAGGGAGGGGGCGCAGGTGGCATGGGTTTCTGAAGCAATAGGATCTGCTCTGTGTGGCTCTCACCAACCCCCTTTGCCCCTCTGTGACAGGGTGTATACGTGTCTGTGTGTGCGTGTACCTGTGTGGTGTGGCTCACAAGGTCACCCCCGGTGGGTGGGATAATAAGAGACACAGTGACCCCTCTCTTCTGTACATTCATACTTTTTTTTCCGAACTTGTGAATATTCACACTGTTAATAATCCTGCGCAGTCCCATGACTTCCAATACCACTTACGTGCTGATGACCCCCCAAGCGAAGAAATCCTTACATGTCTTCAACCCACTGGCTCCCACGAACTCCAGGTCTGTATCTCCAGCTGCCTACTGGATACATCTCCACTTGATGCAATGAACTTCCTGTGTCCAAACCCCGGTTCCAGATTCCCAGTGCTCCTGCCGGCTCCTCCGCCAGTCTTCCCTACTTTAGTGACAACTCCATTTTTCCCAATACCCATTTTAAAAACCCTGGAGTAGCCCTTGACTCCAGTCTCTCTCCTCTTTCAACCATTTCATCAGCAAATACTGACAGCTCTACCTTTATCATCAAAGCATATTCAGAAATCACCCTCTTTTGCATCGCACACTGTCATCTTTCCCTTGAATTACTGCAGTAGCCTCCTAGCTAGGTTTCCTGATTCCATTCTTGCCCAGCAGCAGCAGCAGAAGAAAAAACCACAGTGCCGTTAAAATGATCTTTTAAAAATGACAGGGTTGGGTGTGTTGGCTCATGCCTATAATCGTAACACTTTGGGAGGCTGAGGCGGGTGTTATCGCTTGAGGTCAGGAGTTCGAGTCCAGCTTGGGCAATATGGTGAAACCCTGTCTCTACTAAAAATACAAAAATTAGTCAGGCATGGTAGTACTCCCAGCTACTCTGGAGGCTGACACAGGAGAATCACTTGAACCAGGGAGGTGGAGGCTGCAGTGAGCCAAGATCGGGACATGCCAAGCCTGGGCAATGGAGACTTTGTCTCAAAAAAAAAAGAAAGAAAGAAAGAAAAAAGGGAGCCTGAGCAACAAAGTGAGACCCGTCTCTACAAAAAAAATCAAAAAATTAGCTGGGTGTGGTGGCACACAACTGTAGTCCTGGCCACTTGGGAGGCTGATGTGGGAAGACTGCTTGAGCCCAGGAGGTTGAGGCTATAGTAAGCTGTGGGCACACCACTGGACTCCCACCTGGGTCATAGAGGGAGACCCTGTCTCAAAAAAGAAAAAAGCCGGGCGTGGTAGTTATGCCTGTAATCCCAGCACTTTGGGAGCCTGAGGTCGGTGAATCACTTGAGGTCAGGAGTTCGAGAGCAGCCTGGCCAACATGGTGAAACACCATCTCCACTAAAAATACAGAAATTAGCTGGGCATGGTAGTGTGTTCCTGTAATCCCAGCTATTTGGGAGGCTGAGGCAGGAGAATCATGTGAACCCAGCAGGCGGAGGTTGCAGTGAGCAGAGCTGAGATTGCACCAGTGCACTCCAGCCTGGGCAAAAAGAGGGAGACTGTCTCAAAAAAAAAAAGAAAAAGAAAAAGAAAAAATTCTATTCCTGTGTTTGCTCAGTACACTTTCTGTGGCTTCCAATTTCAGTAAAATCCAAGTGTCTTAGTCCATTTTGTGCTGGCTAAATCAGAAAACCACAGACTGGATAATTTGCAAAGAACCAAAGTTTATTTTGCTCACAGTTTCACAGTTTTAGTGGCTGAAAAGTGCAAGAACCTGATGCAGCATCTGCCGAGGGTTGTCCCAGGATGGAGGGGCAGAAGGTGGAAGCAAACAAGATGGACAGGAAACTAGGCCTTTCATCAGGAGCCAGGCCAATGATAACAGTATTAATCTATTCAGGAGGGCAGGGCCCTCATGACCTAATTACCTCTCTCTCTCTCTCTCTCTCTCTTTTTTTTTTTTGAGATGGAGTTTCAGTCTTGCCACCCAGGCTGGAGTGCAGTGGTGTGATCTCGGCTCACTGCCTCTCCGGTTCAAGCGATCCTCCTGCCTCAACCTCCCGATTAGCTGGGATTACCATTGCCCGTCACCACATCTGGCTAATTTTTTCATTTTTAGTAGAGATGGGGTTTCACCATGTTGGCCAGGCTGGTCTCGAACCCCTCGGGTGATCCACCCTCTTTGGCCTCACATGTGCTGAGATTACAGGCATGAATCACTGCGCCTGGGTGACCTAATTACCTCTTAAAGGGCCCATTCTGCCCAGCGCAGTGGCTCAGGCCTGTAATCCCAACACTTCGGGAGGCTAAGGTGGGAGGACTATTTAAGCTCAGGAGTTCAAATCCAGCCTGGGCAACACAGCAAGACTGTCTGTATGAAAAACAAAAACAGCCCGGCCAACATGGTGAAACCCCATCTCTACTAAAAATGCAAAATTAGCCAGGCGTGGTGGCAAATGCCTGTAATCCTAGCTACTTGGGAGGCTGAGGCAGGAGAAACGCTTGATCCCAGGAGGTGGAGGTTGTAGTGAGCCAAGATTACGCCACTGCACTCCAGCCTGGATGACAGAGACTCCTTAGCCAGGCATGGTGGCACACACCTATAGTTTCAGCTGCTCAGAAGGCTAAGGAAGAAGACTGCTTGAGTCCAGGCAGCTGAGGCTGCTGTGAGCCAAGATCAGCCCACTGCACTCCAGCCTGGTGAGAATGAAACCCAGTCTGAAAGAAAAAAAAAGCCCCAACTCTTAAGACAGTAGCAATTACATTTATTTTATTTTTATTATTATTATTTTTTAGACGGCGTTTCGCTCTTGTTACCCAGGCTGGAGTGCAATGGCGTGATCTCGGCTCACCGCAGCCTCTGCCTCCTGGGTTCAGGCAATTCTCCTGCCTCAGCCTCCTGAGTAGCTGGGATTACAGGCACGCGCCACCATGCCCAGCTAAATTTTTTGTATTTTTAGTAGAGACGTGGTTTCACCATGTTGACCAGGATGGTCTCGATCTCTTGACCTCGTGATCCACCCGCCTCGGCCTCCCAAAGTGCTGGGGCCACCACGCCCGGCCTTATTTTTAAATTTTTTTAGTTTTTGGTGTCATGACTCGATGCGAAATGAAATTTCTTTTTATTTCAACATGAGTTTTGACAGGGACATTCAAACCATAGAACCAAGGTTCTCCCCAAAGGTCTCTAAGACCTTTGATCTGGCCCCTGACCCCTTTCTAACCTCATCTCCATCACCGAGTTCAGCCCTCCTGCCTCGGAGCGTCTGCACCTGCCCCGCTGCGTCACATTCCCCTGATCTCTGTCGGATTGTATCTCTTCTTCAGGAGTTGGTGTTTCCTGAACCACCTTATCTAAAATAGTATCTCCTCTTCTCCACTATAGCTCCCTTAGTCTGCTTTACTTTTCTTCATATCCTTTATCACCAGTAGATGTACTATAGATGTGGATTTTTAATTTTAATTTTTTTCTTTTTTGGGACAGAGTCTCCCTCTGTCGCCCAGGCTAGAGTGCAATGGCACGATTTCGGCTCACTGCAACCTCCGCCTCCCAGGTTCAAATGATTCTCCTGCCTCAGGCTCCCGAATAGGTGGGACTACAGGCACAAGCCACCATGTCAGCTAATTTTTTTGTTTTGTATTTTTAGTAGAGACACGGTTTCACGTTAGCCAGGATGGTCTTGATCTCCTGACCTCATTATCCACCCGCCTCAGCCTCCCAAAGTGCTAGGATTACAGGCGTGAGCCACGGCGCCTGGCCTTATTTTTATATATTTTTTATTTTATTTTATTTTGAAAGTGAAAGCAAGTTTATTAGAGAGGTAAAGAAACAAAAGAATGGCTACTCCATAAGCAGATCAGCCTTTATTATTTATTTTTTTTGGAGTGCAGTGGCATGACCTCAGCTCACTGCAACCTCCTGGGTTCAAGCGATTCTCCTGCCTCAGCCTCCTGAGTAGCTGGATTCACAGATACCACCACCATGCCTGGCTAATTTTTTGTATTTTTAGTAGAGACAGGGTTTCGCCATGTTGGCCAGGATGGTATTGAACTCCTGAACTCAAGTGATCTGCTTGCCTCGGCCTCCCAAAGTGCTGGGATTACAGGCGTGAGCCGCCTTGTTGGGCCATGTACTATAGATTTATTTCAGTCACATGATTCCTGTGTGCAAGCCCAAGACACACAGGAATCTATACCCCAGGAGGTCAGGGACGCTTTTGTTCACTTGTCTCTCCCTATGCCTAGACCCCCTACCCACACATGGGAGGCACCGAAATACACATTCACCGAATAAAAGTGACTCTGTGAGGCATGTCAGACTGTGTGTCCAGATGTCTTGGGACATTCCCTGGCAGCCTTTGCTGTTGGCTTCTTCAAATTGGACCCCATCTTTATATCTAGCTTATGTCTCCTGTGAGAAGCCTGGTCCCTTAACCCCTTTGTGGCTCTACAACTCTTCCCTCCTTGACTCTATCTCTTCCTCCAGGTCTTTGCTGTTTTCCTGAACCACCTTATCTAAAATAGCATATCCTCTTCTCCATTATAACCCCAGGTTTTGTGGGCTCGGGGGTTTATTTGCTTTTGCAGACCCTCTTCAAGAATTCAAACGATAAACACAAAATTACTTATAAAAGTGAGCTTTCTTTTTTTTTTAGTTCCGGAAAATAAACCACAGTACATTACTGAAATCTTGGAGATTGGTTTCTCTCTCTCAGGACAACTTACCTGAGATATATTCTGATAGCAACCTGGCTTACCCTCCACACTCAGTCTTTCCAGCACTCATCAGCTTAGTGGTAATCTCCCACACTAGGTATCCATCCATCTCTCTCTCTCTCTCTCACTCTCTGAGACAGAGTTTTGCTTTTGCTGCCCAGGATGAAGTGCAATGGCACGGTCTCAGCTCATCGAAACCTCCATCTCCAAGGTTCAAGTGATTCTCCTGCCTCAGCCTCCCAAGTGGCTGGGATTACAGGCATGTGCCACCACGCCTGGCTAATTTTGTATTTTCAGTAAAGAGAGGGTTTCTCTGTGTTAGTCAGGCTGGTCTCGAACTCTAAACCTCAGGTGATCCGCCCGCCTTGGCCTCCCAAAGTGCTGGGATTACAGGCGTGATCCACCGCGCCTGGCCAGCCTTTGCCTTTTTCTCCTGTCCACAGAGATACCGCAAACAAGCACATCAGTGGATCTGGGTGGCTCGCGAGTCTCCTACAGCAGCCAGGAGACCCTGGTACAGACAGGGCCTCAGTTTTTCCATCTGTGAAATGGAAACGTGGACAGACTTGTCTGTAGCCTCCCACGTGAGGATCCTCGGACTGAGAGGATACTAGGAGGGCCAATACAGCGCATTAGCCCTCCTAGTGATTCCCACCTCCGTCCCTGGAATGAAGGAAACCCGGGTGTTCTGGCTTTGCTGATGCCTCTCGGGCGACCTGGCTGAAGCTAATCTCTCCTCTTTAGGTCAGGAGGGAATCTGTGAAATGGGCTTTGAAGCTCGCCTTGCCCTTCTCCGCCCGGTCCCGGCCGGTGTCCGATTGGGACTAAGGCTTCACCCATAGCCTTTGAGATCAGCCCCCACCCCATCACCAGGACGCATCCCACGCCACGAGAAATCTCGCGAATTCCCGCGCTGAAGCGAAGTCAAGACGTTTGACCTTCTTTGGTTTCCGTAGTTCCGAGTTGCGGTTTCCGAGTTAGTGCTTCCGGGTTGCAGCCAGGGCGTCCTCCGCGGTGGTGCAAGCGGAACCAAAGCCCGGAGGTTTCAGTGAGTAGGGGGCCGATGTGAGCTTGAGCGTCCCTCTTTAGACTCCCCAGTTCGATTCCATGAGTACCCTGGTGCAGCTTAGCAAGAGGGTCCAGGATTTTTGGATCCCCAGCCCTGTGACAAGGCTTCCAGTTCAGTTCTCCCCTCCCAGGATTTCGACTCAATTCAGCGAAGTCACCGCCCCGTCTGAGAAATGAGAACACCAAGGCTTAGAGCACAGCCCAGAGGCACCATCTGCCAGACCCCATCCCCTCCCCCGGCTCCTCTCGATCAGCATTGAAACCCTGTCCCTGCTCCAGGTCCCCTTCTCTAGGGTCCACGGCCCCTTGCAGACCTCTGCCTTAGCCGCAGGCCCCTCAATCACCGTCGCCTCGTCTCCCTGACTGTCCGCAGGCCTGGGCAGAATGGCCGCATTCCGGTCTGGTCTTCTGGTGCTGACGACGCCGCTGGCCTCCCTGGCCCCTCGCCTGGCCCCCATCCTGACCTCGGCGGCCGGGCTGGTGAATGACACACTCTATGTACACCTGCAGCCGGGCATGAGCCTGGAGGGCCCGGCTCAGCCCCAGTCCACCCCCGTGCAGGCCACGTTTGAGGTTCTCGATTTCATCACGCACCTCTATGCTGGCGCCGACGTCCACAGGCACCTGGACGTCAGAATCCTACTGACCAATATCCGGACCAAGAGCACCTTTCTCCCTCTCCTGCCCACCTCAGTCCAGAATCTCTCCCACCCGCCAGAAGTTGTGTTGACAGACTTCCAGACCCTGGATGGAAGCCAGTACAACCCGGTCAAGGAGCAGCTAGTGCGTTATGCCACCAGCTGTTACAGCTGTTGTCCGCGACTGGCATCGGTGCTGCTATACCCCGATTATGGGACAGGAGAAGTGCCCGTGGAGCCCCTTGATGTTCCCTTACCCTCCACGATCAGGCCAGCTTCCCCCGTGGCCAGGTCTCCAAAGCAGCCGGTGCGTGGCTACTACCGTGGCGCTGTGGGTGGCACGTTCGACCGCCTGCACAATGCCCACAAGGTGTTGCTCAGTGT